AGTAGAGGCGAAGTTTGCATGGCAGCTGCCTTGCATGTGTGTACAGACTTGAATTGAAAATCTCACTCCAGCCAGCCGATTGAAGTTGGCAGCCCTGCAGTGGGCAGTTACAGCATCAACTGTTAGTGTTTTTAATATTATCAGTTGTTTTCTACAGGCTTTACATGACGCATTGCTGTCAAGACAACAGAGATCATGTCGGATGTATCTATGGGAGCATCCAGAGACTTCCCTGAGACTCAAACAGCTATGCAAACCAAGGTCTTTATTCTTCAGTGAAGATGATGTAAGTGATTTAAACAAGAGTCAGGTAAAATTGGTTTCTAAAAACTGAAAACTAGGCTCATACATTTTCTACACTCATTGCAAAGTAGTGTCGTATCTGTTAAACAGACCAATCAGCTGGCTGAGAAAATCAAAAGGGCTCTGAAGCTCAGTGATGACCCAGACATGGTGAACTTCATGTTTGATATCATGATTCCTGAGGTAATACAAAAATGCACGAAAAAATATAATTCTGTATATTAGATAAAAGAAGCTCAGACTATGCTTAACTTTGTTATCTGTTTTAAGGTCACCATCAAAATTCTGATGACCCATGAAGGCTTTTGTCGCTACAAAGCTGAACTCTGCCTTCAGTCTGGAAATTTAACACCATGAAAAATGCATGAAGAAAACTTATAATACTAAATTTAATAAAACGTTTGTTACTGTTTTTTGACAACATTTGTGCATCGTTCCCTTTATTTGTTTGATAAAGCAAAGAGAGACCTGTAACTGTTAAACCCTAATGTAATGGTTGTGATGTTAGTCTCTGTGTTAATGATGGCTAAATGAAATCTAGCGGGGTGAGAAAATACAGCAAATGGTTCATCAAGCTTAATTTGATCATCACCACTCTCATGAGAAGAGCACCTGAAGACTGTTTATAGGTAACAAACTGAGAAGGATCTGGCTGCAGAAAACTGGGCAACCTCTGCTAGGAGGATCTCCACTGTGGGGCCACATATGACATTAGGCAAACTACAGGAACACTGGGCTAAATTATAGGATATTATTATTGTCATTAATAATAATAATAATAATAATAATAATAATAAATATATAGAGCTTTACAACATAACTTTTTACTAGTAAAAATTTAATATAGTAAATGTGAGGCAAAAATGCAATTTTTCTTTTGCAGTTTCTACTAGTAGGAATCAAGTTATTTCGACTAAGCCTGAGACTATTGAAAGACAATTTGGCCTGCCATATACGCATGGCATTTAGTAAATGCTGTAATAAAAACGCCTCTGTAATTAATTTGTACATGCAACATATTGTTTGCATTGTAATGACCCTTATAAAATAACCTTCCTTAAAAGGAAACAGAAAACTAACCCATTTAGCGTGACAATCTGAAGTAACTGTCATGTGCCACTAGGGGCGCGTCTTTGGAATAGCTACGATAGCTTTCGTTACACATCAGGTTTTCAATGTTTTTTTATTAATAAATGGTAGATATTGCATTCACGTTCTCTCAGCAGAGTAATGCTTACAGCGATGTGAAAAAATACGCTTATACAAAGCGTTGGATTATGAGTGCGCTGCCAGAAATCGTATTTCCCCCGCAGCGT